ATTTACTTTTATATTTTATTACTTTTAAAAGGTTGATATTGACTGGGAATATCCAGGAAGACAAGGAATGATATGCAATGTAGTAAATCAAAAGGATGATGCTAACAATTTTTTGACATTGCTAACAGAAATGCGTGCTGCATTAGGCAATGACAAGTTGCTCACATTGGCTGTATCAGCTTCTCCATTTGATGGCCCAAATGGTACAATAAGTGACGTAAGTCCATTTGCTAAATTAGTGGACTGGGTTAACATCATGGTAAGATATGTTAATTTTAATTATTGGATTGTGCCCGTTGAGAAAATCTTATCTGGACATTATTAATTATTCGGGTTGTCCGGATAAGTTATAGCAGCGATTTCTATTCGGGCACAATCACAAAATTTAACTAGAAAGATAGAAATCTTTGAAAGTCCGAAGGAAACACTTAAGGTGTTCACTCAATGAATCGAACACGGAGTGCAGACCATCCTTTTTTTCATAGAGTTACTCTGATTGACTGAAATTTTAAAATCCGCATTTTGCGTAATGGAATTTCGGCAAGCAATGCTTAACATCTCGATTACTTGAAGGAGCTACTTGAGAACACTCTTAATAGGTTTTGCGCCGCGGTTTTTTTTTATTTTTGATCAACCAATCAATATTGAATAAAATGACCTGCAATATAACTGATAGCAACAAATCAAAATTCGTAGTTTACGGGCCATAGAGTGTTCTGTCTTTACCGTAATGTCCTTCTGTTATCTAATATTTTTTATTTATTTAGGCATATGATGTTAGTGTCTCTGATGGAAATAATGAGAGTTGGGTACAATTTACGGGACCAAATGCACCTTTTGACATTCCTGATACAACAACTAACCGTGTGTCTTTCAAAAGTTCGATTTCAAATTGGATGAATGCCGGAATGCCAAGTTCTAAGATTGTTATGGGAGTTAAATTTATGGGACGAGCACAAACTGCTCTAGAACCAATGTCAACAAGTCAATATGTTAAACGTGACCCTGTTGTTCCTGAAGGTGATCAATCTGATCAAATGTCTGCAGACCCATGTCCTGGTGCTAGCTCTAGTTATTCTGGTGTATGGTCTTGGATAAATTTAAGACAACAAGGTCTTTTGAGTTGCACTATGAAAGGTAGTAGCTCTTGGATACGTAATTTTGACAATATTACACAAACACCATGGCTATATAATCCAGATACAAATATTTATATTTCTTACGATGACCCACAATCCTTGTATGTAAAAGCAAAATATACAAAACAACAAGGATTAAGAGGAATGGCCATTTGGGAAATATCAGATGATAATGGTCAAGAGTTACTTAATACAATTCAAGTATTAAATAAAAATATTGCATCTCCAACTAATGATTGTTCCGGTGGTAGTTCTGGTGGTGGTGGTGGTGGTGGTGGTGGTGGTAGTGGTAGTAGTTACCATAAATTAGCATTAAGTGGTCCTGCTATTGCTGGAATCACTTTAGGACTTGCTACTTTATTATCAATAGCTACATTTATATATTATTGGTATAAAAACAAAACTGCGACCGTTGTTAGTCCGACTAATGTAAAAGTAAGTGAAAATTACGAAGCTTAAATTTATATAAAAAAAAAACATCTGTATTATTATAACTTAATATATCTTTATTTAAAATTAATATAATAAAAAGATTTTACAAATTCAATATAAAGCTTTATGTACAAATGATGAATAGTTTTAAAGTGATATTTCAGTTTCTTGACTTGCAGAAATTTTGAGACTTTATCGATCGAGAGTAGACACATGGAATTGTTCAAATATGGCTAATAAGATAATATTACGTTCTTTAATTTTAGCAGAGAAGAAAAAATTAAGATTTTTTTTATAATAATATTTTTTAGACAAGCAAGAACCGTATAATAAAGTTATAACGCAGAGTCTTATTTATCTGATTGGATAAAATATATATCTATATACAGTTGGTACTGTCTAATTACATACTGTCTAATTGCATATACTCTTTAAATGCATAAAAAATTTTGACTTTTAATTATTAACGCAAAGATAGTTCTTATGACTTAAATACATATATTGTCTATATGCATAAAAAAGTCTCTGACGGATAGTATGCAATTAGACAGTATCGACTGTACTGTATTAAAATCTATATGCTACGCATTAAAAATGTTTCTTGTGA